TAAGGAGGCTGAGATGCAAGGATCGTGTTTCAAAGCTAGCCTAAGGCAAGAAAGTGTGAGACTCACATCCATAAACCACTAGAAAGCCCGAAGTGGCACTGTTGCTCAAGTGGTAGAGCTGAAGGGCTGAGGGGAACATATCCAGGCCCAGAGTTCAAAGCCCCACAACCAACAAAAAGAAAAAATACAGAGAATGAAAAGTAGTTAAGCTTATTAACATTAGTTATCTCCTAGGTGATAAAATTAAGGATTCCCCTCACACACATTGGATTGTTATCCATAAAGCTACAATGAGTATTAGTGTAATTTTTTGACTGGGGAAACTCTTCAAAGAATGGAGGAAAATTAACAAGATAGCTTTAACCATAATATGATTTCAAATCTCTACTGGCAAAAAAATTTTAATGGCAAAGCAGGTGCTGGTGGCTCACGCCATGTAATCCTAGCTACTCAGGAGGCTGAGATCTGAGGATCGCAGTTCAAAGCCAGCCCGGGCAGGAAAGACTGTGAGACTCCTATCTCCAATGAACCACCAGAAAACCAGAAGTGGCACTGTAGCTAAAGTGGTAGAGCGCTCGCCTTGAGCTGAAGAGCTGTGGGACAGCGCCCAGGCCCAGAGTTCAAGCCCCACAAACCGACCAAAAAAAAATTTTTAATGGCAAAAAATAACCTGAAGTAGGTATTTATGTAGCAGGTTACAGAAATCTGTCTTTCTTTACAAAACACAATTTCTAATAAATAACAATCTAAATTAAGATATGAACTACCATCACATGAAAACAAGAGAAGTTTGATTTGGATACATTATATGTGTACATAAAAGCATCACATTGAAATCCCTCCTGTACAAGGAACTGGTGCTAAAAAAAAATTCTAAAATAAAAAACCAAAATCATCCTGTTCCTCTAATCTAATAAATCTCACTAAGAACTGAAAATGCTATATTCATGAGTGTATTTTTCAAGAAATTTATAATACTTGATATAACCTTTTAGGAAAGAAATTTGTGAATATATGGAGTATTAAAAATCATTCTTGGGGCTGGGAAGGGTGGCTCAGTGTAGAGTGCTTGCCTTGCATATGCCTGAGCTCTGGGTTCGATTCATCAGCACCACATAAGCAAAAAAGAAAAAAGCCGGAAGTAGCGCTGTGGCTCAAGTGGTAGAGCGCTAGCCTTGAGCTGAAGAGCTGAGGGACAGCACCCAGGCCCAGAGTTCAGGCCCCACAACCGGACCCCCCCCCACCCAAAAAAAAAAAAAATCATTCTTAGTGGGCTGCTGGTGGCTCATGCCTATAATCCTAGCGACTCAGGAGGCTGTGATCTGAAGATGAAGTTTCAAAGCCAACTGGGGGCAGGAAAGTTCATGAGACTCATATCTCCAAAAAAACCCACCAGAAAACCAGAAATGGTGCTGTGGCTCAAAGTGATAGAGCAAGAGCTCAGGGACAGCGCCAAGGCCCTGAGTTCAAGCCCCAAAACTGACAAAAAAAAAAAAAAAGTGAAGGCTAAAATGTGTTTGTAAGTATGACTATGCCATAATACTATTAAATTTATGTAATTAATTTCAATAAAGAAAACAACTTTTGATATAGTAGTGTCTATACTAACCAAATAAAAGAAATATTTTCATCTTTCAGTCTTTTATTACAAGAAAAGGCAATAATCTTTCCTTTACTATAACACATTTGAATCACACACAACCAAAATATTAATAATTGTTTTTTTAAATCTCTGCTGCAGCAAAAACTGGTGTCTTAGATCAGGTAAAAAAATCAGGCAAAGCCGGGCGCTGGTGGCTCACGCCTGTAATCCTAGCTACTCAGGAGGCTGAGATCTGAGGATCGAGGTTCAAAGCCAGCCCGGGCAGGAGAGACCCGTGAGACTCCTATCTCCAATAAAACACCAGAAAACCGGAAGTGGCACTGTAGCTCAAGAGGTAGAGCGCTCGCCTTGAGCTGAAGAGCTGAGGGACAGCGCCCAGGCCCAGAGTTCAAGCCCCACGACCGACAAAAAAAAAAAAAAAAAATCAGGCAAAGAGGCTGGGAAGGTGGCTCAGTGGTAGAGCGCTTGCCTTGCATGCCTGAGGCCCTGGGTTCGATTCCTCAGCACCACATAAGCAAAAAGGAAAAAGCCGGAAGTGGTGCTGTGGCTCAAGGGGTAGAGCGCTAGCCTTGAGCTGAAGAGCTGAGGGACAGCACCCAGGCCCAGAGTTCAGGCCACATGACCGGACCCCCCCCCCCCCCCCCAAAAAAAGGAGGCCAAAAGGAGGGAGTGTACAGCCTGGGCCCAATGGCATTTTAGGTCCTCTGTAAAAAAAAAACAAAAAAAACAGAAAGACTGGTGTAGGACAGCCACCCATCCCAGCTGTCTCCCAATCCACATTTTGCTAATTTAAATTTGCTAACAGTTGTTTTCCCAGTACAAAGCAGTCTTAAAAGCAGTAAAAGGGCTGGGAAGGTGGCTCACTCATAGAGTGCTTGCCTTGCATACATAAGGCCCTGGGTTCGATTCCTCAGCACCACATAAGCAGAAAAAGCCAGAAGTGGCACTGTGGCTCAGGTGGTAGAGCGGTAGCCTCGTGCTAAAGAGATGAAGGGCAGTGCCCAGCGCCTAGAGTTCAGGCCCCACAACCGACCAAAAAAAAAAAAAAAGCAGTAAACAAGTTTCCTTTAAGGCCTTAAGTGAATTGCATGTTTTAAAACAAACATTGGAATCACAAGGAAAGGTTCCCCTAAATGTGCCCCCTCATTTCAGGGGATAAGGGTATATTTAAGAGCACAGGATTCTGGGCCCAGTTTCAATCATGCAACTGGCCACAGAATCCTTGCATGAGTTACTTAATCTGTGTTCCTGAAACTTCTCATTTGCAAAAAACTGAATATTGCTTTTTCCTAAGTTGTGGAGAATACTAAACAAGTTTAGGCACATACAAACACCACGTGGACCAGGAACCAGTGTTCAGCACTAGTGCTACAGACATGAAAGTATAATTACAGTTAAACAGGCCCAAAGATGAAAAAGAACCAGAAAAATATCGTTGATGGGATTGTTGAAAAAGACTTGTCTCCTTACTTTTCAATCATGTGCCCTTTCTACCCGTTATCTATACCTAAGTGTTGACTTATTTGTTTTAGCCATCAATAAATTCTCACACAACACAGCAGCCTGAAAAAGAAAAAGAGAAAAAAAGTAAGCTCTAGTAGATGAAACTGCAGTAAGTATCTACAGAGAGAGAAACAATTTTTTTACACCAAACGAAAGCCCAGGTCACATTTGTATTATTACCATGGTATTTTTCGATCGCCATTTACTCAGATCTTGAGTTAAGCAGTGTATAACAAACACTTGCGAATACAGCTAAATCTTCACTCTTATGTTCTCTAGGAGAAAAATCAAGGTTTTCGGGAAAACACTAGACGCTCTCGCTGCAATCACTGTGTGTGGCCGTCTGCGACATTCAGGTAAGAAAAAGTGTGTTTTAGAGCCAAAAGTGGCAACCCAGATTTAGTGGCTTTCAAATGTGCATTGCCTAAATGTAGCCTGTCTCTACGTGTGACTACAGTATGCGTTACACGCTGACAACTGCCATAATGTTTTGCCGTGGTTTCGCCTCCGTATTTTGTTTTTTAATTTTATTTTATTTGTGAACATACTGTACAGAGGGGTTACAATTACATGGGCAGGATAATGCGTACATTTCTTACCAAGCATTGCAGCCTCCTCCTTTGTTTACCCTTCCCAGCCTCCCCCCCTCCCCCCAATCCCAATCCTTCTCCTTCCCCCCCCTTGCCCCCCCCCCGCCTCCGTATTCTGAAACCCCCACTTTGGAAGCTACTAGGCGACTAAAATGTCGAGATCTCCCCCCCCCCCCCCCCCCGATTTGGCCACAGCGTAGGAAAATTCCAACTAAGGGGGAATTCTTTCACCAACTAGAAAGGTAGATCTGCTACTTTGTTAGCCGCTTTAGTACAAAATGGCGGAAGGCCATTTACCGAGCCCCTCGCCATTTTGCAAACTTAATTATATTACCAAAACGCTGCGCGTCACCCCCAATTCCGTCATTCGGTCTGAAATGTGCGCACGCGCTGCTCCTAGCATCACTGAACCAGCATAAGCAGGCTCAAATACGCAGGCGCAACAACAGCTGCATGCCCCTCCGCCGCGCGCACCTCCCACGCGCACGCGCTTTGCCACCAACGTAACGTTTTCAATGCGCCTGCGTGTTTTTCTCTTTCAACCCGCCTATGCGTGTGCGTGCGTGCTCCGCTCTCGCGCCACTGACGGCCCGCCCCTCACGTCAGGCAGTCTCAAAAAATATTGGAGCGCCACCATCCAAGAGGGTGCTTTTTCATAGTCTCTCAAACGCTGCGCACCGTGTGCACCCTCTTCATTCGTGCCACGACCTCCGTTTCATATTCACACAAGTTACATATGGACATAAAACACATGTCCTGATATTGAGACGCTTTTGCCACAGTTGTGTCCGAATTGTCCAAGAGTCATTCCTAGCCTTCCCCGTGTGGTTAACTAGGGGAGATGGAATATGGAAGAGGGGTTGCAGGTGATAGAACTTAACCCTAAATCTGGATGGAATCCACTCCCAACACCAAGGCACGGAATAGATAGAGTACCCTAGAATTGACCAAATGTATTAAGACCCGCCAACGTGACCAAAAGAAAAGAAGCCCCTATAAAATTCTAGATAAGCCTAAAGCTCAGCCTTCAGGTTTAGATGGTACAAATAAGGAACCCCAATATTCTAAGACAGGGAGAATACCGATGCCTAGGTACCTGAACCCTGCTTAGAGAAAAACGCTGCATCCATGCCATCTTTCTGGAGATCTGAGGTTCGTGCTGGCCTCCCATTTCTCCCTCCCCCGCCCCCCCCCCCCCCCCCCGCCTCATCAAACGGGAGATAGTGCTCAAATTAAGGATTTCCCATTACTAAATTCCCTCCGCCTCCCTCCATTTAAGTTCTAGTCTTTCGTCGTTCCTTTACCTCCTGGCTGAATCCACTGTTGCAGAAATGCCGAGACTGTGGAGAGAGACCCCGCTGCACAGAGCCAGTTGTCTTGGGTAGCGGCAGCAGGCAGTAAAGGCAGGGATCCACATCCAGGAAACATGCCAGAACTCCAGCCGCGGCGCTGAAGCCAGAAAAAAGCCGCAGCCTTTTTCGTAACGTCGCAGTGTTTTGGGCGCATGCGCCACGCTCCCCCCCACCTTTTTTTTTTCGCCCCTTACCCCTCCCCCCCCCCCCCCCCCCCCCCCCCCCCCCGCTCCCGGGCCTTCCCCCTGGCGCGCTGCTTTACAGCTGCTCGGACTTTCTGTGGTCAGTCAACAAAACACCTTCACCTCCTTTCTCTGTGCCCTGCTCCCTAGCAGATCTTGCCTAACTCAGCGCATCCTGTCGCCAGTCCCACTCCCAATCTATGCAGCCAAGTCCAACTATGCTTGTTTCTCCCGTTTTTCTTTTTCTTTTTAATCTTTCTTTCTTCCTTCCTTCCTTCCTTTCTTCCTTCTTGTCTTCTTTTTTTTTTTTTTTGCTGTTTCTTTTTCTTTTCTTTCGCTGGTCCTGAAAGCTTGAACTCAGGGCCTGGACACTGTGCCTGAGCTTTTGTAATCAAGGCTAGCGTTCTGTTATTTGAGCCATAGAACCACTTCCGGCTTTTTTGGTAGTTTATGGGAGTGTAGAGTCTCACAGACTGTCCTGCCTAGACTGGATTCGAACTGTGATCCTCAGAAGCTAGCATTAAACGGATAGGACACCCGTGCCAGCTGCGACCCTTCCAATCCTTAATCTTTCCTATGCAGCTGCAACCCAGATAGACCTCTTTTTTTTTTTTTTTTTTTTTATTTTTGTTTTTCCAGTTCTGGGGCTTGAACTTAGGACCTAGGCTCTGTCCCTGAGCCTCTCTGTGCTGAAGGCGAGCACTCTACTATTTGGGCCACAGCACCACGTTTGGCTTTTTCTGAATAGTTTATTGGAAATAAGAGGTCACACAGACTTTCTTGCCTGGGCTGGCTTTGAATCTCAATCCTCGGATCTCAACCTCTTGTGTAACTGGGCTTGCAGGCAGGAGCCACTGGTGCCTGTCAGGGCTTTTACTCTCTCCTGCTGTGCCTGATATTCCAAGCTTTGAAAAAAAAAAAAAAATTGGGCTGGGAAGGTGGCTCAGTGGTAGAGCTCTTGCCTTGCATGCGCTGGGTTTGATTCCTCAGCACCACATAAGCAGAAAAAGCTGGAAGTGGCACTGTGGCTCAAGTGGTAGAGCGCTAGCGTTGCGCTGAAGAGCTGAGGGACAGCGCCCAGCGCCCAGAGTTCAGGGCCCCACGACCAGACCCCCCCCAAAAAAAAAAAAATTGCCTGGCGCTGGTGCTTCCGCCTGTAATCCTAGCTACTCAGGAGGCCCGACATCTGAGGATCTTGATTCAAAGCTAACCAGCACAGGAAAGTCCATAAGACTTTTATATAAGGGGGGGAGGGGGGTCAGGATGAGCCCAACATATCTGGCTCACTACTTGTAATTCCTAGCTACCCCAGGAGGCTGAGATCTGAGCGATGGCACATCAAAGCCAGCCCAGGCAGGAAAGTCCAGGAGAAAACTTACAAATAATAATAATAAAATGATTAAAGGGGAGCTGGGAATGTGGCTCAGAGGTAGAGTGCTTGTCTAGCATGCATGAAGCCCTGGGTTCGATTCCTCAATACCATAAACAAAAAAGCCATAAATGGCTCTGTGGCTCAAGTAGTAAAGTGCTAGCTTTGAGCTGAAGAGCTCAGGGACAGCACCCAGGCCCAGAGTTCCAAACCCCATGACCGACAAAAAAGAAAAAAAAATTATTAAGGGGTGCTGGGCACCCATGGCTCACGTCTGTAATCTTAGCCACTCAGGAGGCTGAGAGCTGAGGATCACAGTTCAAAGCCAGCCAGTCCATGAGACTCATCTCCAATTAACCACCAGAAAACCGGAAGTGCTCTATGGCTCAAGTGGTAGAGCGCTAGCCTTGAGCTGAAGAGCTGAGGGACAGCACTCAGGACCAAGGTTCAAGACTCACGACCAAAAACAAACAAACAAACAAACAAAAAAATTAAGAGGAAAAACTAAGAATAGATGTAGCTAATTGAGAGCTCTTGCCTACCCTCTGGAGGCTTTGCCAGGATATACTCACAGAATATCCAAAGCAGTTGTCATGTAGAGTTAGACAGAATGCCCTGTTGAAATGGACTCAGAAAAGACCCAGAAACAGGGAGCCCACATACACAAGCACACAAAAAAGGATGATAACAAATATATGGAAGAGGATTCAGTCAGTTTAGGGCACAAAACTGTGCAAACTTTTGTCTTCAGAATCTTCAGAACTCTACTGTTGTCTGGGGTATTAAGAATGCCTTTCGGGTCTGGGAAGGTGGCTCAGTGTAGAGCACTTGCCTTGCATGCATGACGCCCTGGGTTCGATTCCTCAGCACCACATAAGCAGAAAAAGCTGGAAGTGGCACTGTGGCTCAAGTGGTAGGTAGAGCGCTAGCCTTGAGCTGAAGAGCTGAGAGAGACAGTGCCCAGGCCCAGAGTTCAGGCCCCACGACCAGACCCCCCCCCCCCCAAAAAAAAAATGCCTTTCAAGCCAGGTGGGGTGGTTCATGCCTGTACCCAGGAGGCTGGGATCTGGGGATCATGATTTGAAGCCAGCCCAGGCAGGAAAGTCTGTGGGACTTTTTTTTTGTTTTTCGGTCAGTTAAGGAGCTTAAACTCATGGCCTGGATGCCATTCCTGTGCTTTCCTGCTGGAGGCTAGCACTCTACCACTTGTCACCAATAAAAACTACTCAAACTGCTGGAAGTGGCGCATAAATGGTAAAGCACTTTCTTTTGAGCACAAGAAACTTGGGGACACTGCCCTGGCCCTGAGTTCAAACCTCAGGACTGGCAAAAATAAATACATAAATAAATAATAAAGTAAATAAAAATAAAAAGCTAAGGAATAGCACCTAGGCCCTGAGTTCCAGCCTCAGGATCAGCGCCCACCACCCCCCCACACACCCCCAAAAAAAACACACTTTTTTAAAAGTCCTTTAGTAACAGCTACAAGGCTTCCTTCTTTCCCCTGTAAAAACTCAAGTAGTAAGATAAGTGGCACTGCAAATGCCGGTGGCTCATGCCTGTAATCCTAGAACTCAGGGGTTGAGCGCTGAGGATAGAGGTTCGAAGCTAAACCAGGCAGGAAATCTCTTAACTCCAATAAACTACCAAAACTCCAGAAGTGGAGCTATGGCTCAAGGGTACAGCTCTAGCATTGAGCAGAAAAAGCCAGAGAAAGCACCCAAGCCT